TTCTTGGATCTCGGACTCCGTCTTGAACTCGATCTCAAACTCGGTTTCCGAGTTGGCTTCGGACTCGATTCCGGACTTTATCTCGAACTCGGTTTTAGAGTCGGTCTTGGACTCGATCTCAGACTCAGTCCCATCCGATGAACTCTTTGTCATTTTAGTCATGCTTTCGGGGATCCTTTAGCCTACGACACCTCGGGGAGTTGGTTCCTTACAATATTCTAACTACACTCAACCTTTTATTTTGCGCGTGGATGCTCCTGACATTGGTCTTGAAGGTGTGTTGATGCAAGATATTGTTACATATATATGGAGGTGTTACATATATATATACATACATATATACATACATATATATATATACATATATATGTATATGTATATATATGTATATATATATATGTATATGTATGTATATATATGTATATGTATGTATATATATGTATATGTATGTATATATATGTATATGTATGTATATATATGTATATGTATGTATATATATGTATATGTATGTGTATATATGTATATGTATGTATATATATATATATGTATGTATATATATATATATGTATGTATATGTATATATATATATGTATATGTATAGAGGCAACTATATCCATACTTTGCTGCTATGACCACTATTTCCACATCTTCTCCCTTTTATCAAAAAATCCATTTCCTTGTCTCGGGTGATTGGTGATGCCTAGAATATACTTATACTCATCCCCAATTCACTAAAACCCCCTAAACCTGAACCGAAACATTCCTTGATTTACTAAACCTGAACCTAAACATGATGCTATTCTTGGTTAAAAAAATTCCAAAATAAAATACTAAAATTATTTCAATTTTCTTCTAAGAAAAACATTCTGTGATGCATATTAATTGTTTTGACATATACTGCTAAGATGGTATATATTTTGAAGTGAATTTTTTCAAGCATGAGTTATAATCCAATATGTGTTACTTGACATAATGCATTTCTTTTATCATTTCTCTGTCACAAAAAAGATTTTAGAAACTGGATTTTTAGAATTTATTTTTATATAGTAATTTCTTCTTAAGGTATTACGACTCAAAAAAGGTGAAACACTGTACTCAGAACTATAGATCTAAAACATTGGCCTCAATCTTGCAATCTCTGTCAAAGGGCCAGCTTGCGGAAAGGACTTTCAAGCTTTGTACCTTGGGACAGTAGAAAATAAAGAGGTTCTTAATATGAAGCTGAGACAAAAAGAAGAAGACAGAAGAAAAAAAAATGAAAACATTACCGTGTTTTTGTGTATGGTGGTTGGAATGTGAGAAATGTGCGTCAACTGATATTGTCCTTCCATGAGTTTGATCCATGACCAAAAGAGCAAGCTTGAAATGAATTCATCTTCTTTGAAATCCTTGTCACAAAGTTCTTCACCGATCCATGGTCTCGAGAAGAGAACAACCCGATGATCATGAATTGGGAGGCGCGACGAGCTCGAGCTCGATCGTGAGGAAGGGACTGTGGTCACCAGAAGAGGACGAGCTATTGCTGAATTTCATACTGCAGCACGGGTGTGGAAACGTATGGACCACTGTTCCCAAGCTTGCGGGTTTGATTGACGATCTCACTCACTCAGTTTTCTATAGGACCGATTTCGCTGCTTTCTTGCAGGGCTCCAAAGAAGTGGGAAGAGCTGTAGGCTAAGGTGGATGAACTACTTGAGGCCGGACCTAAAACGTGGGAAATTCAGCGACGAGGAGAATCAAAAGCTCATCGAGCTCCATGGGCTTGTTGGAAACAGGTGTTTGATCCGGCACCATCACGTTTTTATCCTCATCACTGATATCAATCACAGGTGGGCTTACATTGCTTCCCAGCTTCCCGGAAGAACAGACAACGATGTGAAGAACCAGTGGAACTCGCGCATCAGGAACAAGGCATTTGTAGCCCACTCACCCGTTTCTCAAGATCATGAAAGAAGCGACCCACCTCCATCTCCTCCCACGCCGGAGATTCCAGACCCCGCAGGAGAAGAGTTTCATGATACTCACCTCCTCCAAGGCAATCCAGCAGAAGAATCAGCCTCGTCTCCAGCGGCGACGTCTAGTGCTGGATCATCAGCATCGCTACAATCACACGGTCAAAGCCCTTTGATGGATGGCGATCTTGGCTGCGTTGTCTGGCAGTGCTTCATGAGGTAGAAGCCAAGGCATGATCCACGGACTTCGCCCAGGCGTTCACGGGCATTGCAAGCATCGTACCACGAGTCTGGGCTTCTATACAGATCATAAACACCGCGCGTACGGTGTGATTCCCTGGAAAGAAAGTTCGGAATATTTATAATTCCTTTGGTGCTTGACTATTCCAAAAGATTTCGAAGACTTCGTGCGAGAGGAGGAGGATCGCGGCCATGGATCATCTAATCCCGGCGCAGGGAGGGCGGAGCCGGAGTTACATGCAGCGGATCAATCACATCTGGTCGGAGCGCGAGCGGCGGAAGGAGGTCCAGGAGCTGTATGATCGACTGCGCGTGCTGCTACCGCTCCAATCGCAATCCTGGAAGGTAGTAATCTCTCGCTCCATCCATCACATTCGATCGATCGCTAGGATTCTCAGCCAAGAACAAACAAAGGGCTAAATGCTTTGCTTGCTTCTTTGCTGTACAGATGGATCAATGCGAGGTCATCGCCAAGGCAATGGCGCTGATCCAGTCACTGCAGCGCCAAATCCAGGAGCTGGCGCTCAGGAAATCCGTGCTCGAGGATCAACGCCGCTGTAAGTCAAGGAATTTGATGATCGCAAGCTCCTCGTTGCCGGTGATGGATCGTGGTGGCGGTCCCGTGGGGCTCCACATCTGTGAATTCGAGTTCTTGAGCATGAGCTGCAGTATGTGCGAGGGATTGCTGCTGAGCGTGCTGTGGATCTTGCGGCAGCACCAGCTGCTCATCCAGGACGCGACCATCTCGATCGATCGGGGAGAATTATCGGCGCGAGGACCGGGATCCAAGAACCGTCCAGCCATGGCTAGCCTTTGCATTCGCAGCAAGGTATAAGAAATCTAGATTTTTCTTGAGTTTCCTTTTTGGTTCTTCTTCTCTTCATTTTCTCTATCCAGGCACTGGACATCAGGCATTTGGCCAGGGAATCTTTGAAATTGTCACTTTACACTCTCGTCACCATACTTGCATCCGAACATTCAAACGCAACCGGATTCAAATGGGTATTGAATGTTTAATACCTGTTTAGCTTTTTTTCGAACGGGTATAATGGTTTTCAGTTTTAATATAATTAAAAAATACTTAACTGTTACTAAACAAAATTTGAGCAATACTTACACTTCCATGGATTCACGCTGTGGCTTATTTCGGATGTCGGCCTCAGTTTCAGAACATGACCCTAGCTTCAGCATGGCTGCCTTCCTCCCCCCATCCCAGACTTACTTTAGCGCTTCTGGATCCCACCAACCCTGATTTTACATGAACCCTAATCCTAAGTAAAAGAAAGCATATTCTTTAGGGTTTTTCAAAAATATTCTTGGTGTTTAAACACCGTTTTAAACGCCATATTATACACACGTTTTAAACGGCATTTTTTATTAATCGTACCCGTTCAAATGCAAGTATGCTCATCACTAGCTGATCTATCAACCGACCATGAGCATGCCCAAGTTTTTATTAATTCCACTGTCACAGGAGATTGGGATTGCTGTTTTGTCTTTTATTTTCGAGAGCTTAGAACAGAGAACTGGCAAGAGTTGCAGGCTGAGATGGATGAGACCAGAGTTGAGGCACGGAAAATTCAGCGAGCAGGAGGAGGAAACTCTCTGTCAACTGCATGAATTGGTTGGAAACAGGTACTTTACTTTGCTTGAGTCTTTGGCTTCAGATCGACATCTCTCCCTTCACTGTGTAGGTGGGCTTACTTTGCTACTCAACTTCCTGGGAGAATGGACAACAATGTCAAGAACCATTGGAACTCCCATGTCAGATTCAAGGCCAAAGGGAGGAGTGTTATGATCTAGCACAATTTAGTCTTCCCAAACTATGCTATGCCTCATCTTGAGATTCTTCATTACCCAACCACCCTTGAACTACTTCAAAAGTTTCACTGTGCCACCATTTAAGTTAAGTCTCTTACCTTAACATGCTTTATAATATACCTTTGAGCTTCCTTTTGACCAATGTTAACCATGTGGTCAAAGTTAATGCTTAATAATTCTTCCCCCCTAACAAAGTCTTTGTCCCAAGGACAAATTATACCTGTGATCACCCTTTTTGGGAAACCTTACTCAAACTCTTAATCCATCTTCCACAGCCATATATATTAAGGAGGCATTGGGTTTGTCACTTTGAGATAGTATACTTTTCAATTGGTGAACATAAAATACTGAATGAATTTTCACCCCAACTGGCAGCCGCACCTAATAAACCACTTACCAATGCACTCCAGCACTTCATATAGACTAGCATATTGATGGGAAAGTTTGTCGCTCTTCCTTGTTTGTAAAGGCACCAAAGTGTTCCACTGTTCACTTAATGGAAAGATCACTCACATGAAGATGAGATCACCCACTTTATATTCCTGGAATTGACAATGCTTATTAGCAAACTTCTCCACTCTATCCTGAGTTGCCTATAAATCCCATTTGTATACCACCAGAATCTCATCAAGTATTGTGGCCAAATTAGTTGCCTTAGAATCAAGCTTATTTTGAATGTCCTTACTTAAATGCAATCCCAACTCTATTGCTATTCAGGAATGCCTTCCAAACATGGCAAAGTAAGGACTTAGCTTGGTTCCACTATATTGACTATTATTGTAAACAAATTGCACCAATGGAAGATATAAATCTCATTGTCCTTGCCTTTAATCAATGCTACAATATAGCATATCCTCCACCATTTGATTCACCTCAGTTTGCCCATCCATCTGAGGATGATCTCCACTTGAGAGTTTCAAAATCCCTTGCATAGCCTTCGCAAAGCTTTTCCAAAATCCACTTGTGAAATTTGAATTTCGATCACTAATGATGTCCTCTAGCAAACTAAAATCAGGAAAAACCTTTTCCAAGTAGACTGTAGCCAAGTTTAAGGTAGTAATAGTTTTCCAAAGAGCCAACAACTGCACATACTTTATCAACCGATCCATTATAACCCATATTTGCTTCTTTTGCATCTGTGTTCATGGCAAACAAATAATGAAGTCCATAGAGATACTACACTAATGACTCTAAGGAATATGTAAAGGTTGCAAAAGATTCTCTAGCTTTTCCCATAGGACCTTTACTTGTTGACAAAGCTTGCATGATTTACAATATTCAAGGATATGAGCTTTCATATTCCTCCAATAAAAATTTCACTTAATTAACTCATATGTCTTCTTTCCCCCAAAATAACCAGCTTTTGGAAGATTATGATAGTGGAATAAAACTTGAGTAATTAACACATCCACTCATAGTAAATATACACGGCCATTGTAATAGAGAATTCCATCCACTTATGAGAAAGGGGCGGAGGAGTCGTCAACAGCTCTTTGAGATCTTCAAACAGCCACTCACAATCCGAAGACCAAATGAAATATGACGTTGATGACTTTAGCAACATTTGCAACGGTGCAATGCGATTAGAAAGATGGTCTTCCATCTAGTTGCGCAAAGAGGCCACCTTAGCATTCTAAGCCTAAGCACGCTCAACTAACTGTCTAAACTCACTGACCACTTTACTTAAATGATGACAAAACCGTGTTTGTAATGTTATCACATGACGAACACGAGATAAAGCATTTGCCACCATATTTGATTTTCCTGGGTGATGCTCAATAGGAAATTCCCCAAACTCCATAAGTTTGACCATCCAACAAGCTTGCTTAGTGTTCAACTCCTTTTGTTCAAAAAGATACATAAGTGGTTTATGATCCGTCAACACTACAAACACTACACTATAAAGATAGTGTTGTTATGTCTGCAAAGCATAAACAATAGAGAGTAACTCTTACTCATATAGGAAATAATGTTGTTCTATGGGATTCAAAATTTGACTTTCATATGCAATAGGCTATCTCTCTTATATGAGAACTCTTCATAATGCTCAACCACTTGCATCGCATATTATCTCATATTGTTTTGATGGATTAGTAATGCGAAACACTAGAGCCTCGCTTAACAATCGTTTCAGTGCCACAAAAATCTCCTCTTGTGGCTTTTTCCACTCAAATAGCACGCTTTTGCATAACAACTGTATCAAAGGAATAGCCACCTCCACAAACTTATGCTGGAAACGTCAGTAGTCACTAGTCATACCAAGAAAGTTGCATAATTCAGCCACTAAAGTTGGTGTAAGCCAATTCTCCATCGCAACCACCTTCCTTAGATTTGTTTTGACACCCTTAAATATCACAATATGGATTAAGTATTTCACCTCCAACTTTGCAAACTTATATTTGTTCTTCTTTATATAAAATTTGCTATCACAAAGTAGCAAAAGAACTTTGCACAAATGCACTTTATGATCCTCCATATTTTTGCTGAAAACAAAAATATTGTCCAAAAAAATCTCCACAAACTTATAAAGATAATGCCCAAATACCTCCGTCATCAACCAAGTAAATGTGCCTAGTGCATTTGTCAAACTAAATGGCATAACTATAAACTCAAAATGTTTGAAACTTGTGTTAAATGCCATCTTGGAGATAAATGCTTCATCCATTTCAATCTGATGATATTCGCTCCTCAAATCAATCTTGGTAAACACTCATGCTTCACCAAGTTTGTCTAAGATATCATCTATATGTGGCATTGGCATTTTATCCTTCACTGTTTTTTTGTTCAAGGCACGGTAGTCAATACATATTTGCATTGAACTGTTCTTCTTTTTCACAAGCAAGACTGAAGCACCAAACAAAGACTTACTTGGATGAATAAATCCAAACTCAAGTAACTCCTTGATTTGTCATTGAACTTCTTGCTCCTTCATATAACTTAACCAAAATGGACACTAGTAAATTGGTCACATTCCCGGCTCCAACGTAATCCTATGCTCCACACCTCGTAATGGAGGTAACCCATGAGGAAGTTCAAATGAAAAAACATCAAAAAACTCATCGAGTACATCCTGTATTGCTGCTTCTCCCCCACACGTGCCTTGGTCCCCCAAGTCACGAATAAACAACAAGCAACTTGAAAATGCTTTTCCATTACAACAAACCTATTTCAAAGATGTATGCTTCTGATATCAATGTTAAGATCCACCCCTGAGCTACCTCAAAAGCTCCACTGTGCCACCAAAGCCTTAAGGTAGGTTAAGTCCCTTACCCTAACATGCTTGAGCCTCCTT